CTTTTCAGGGTTTAGAGCTTAGGGTTAGGGTTCAGGATTCAGTGATTCGGATTTAGGATTTAGGGTTTATTCTTCAGGGTTTAGGGTTTCGGGTTGAGTGGGGGACTTAATGCTAAGACTAGGGTTCTACAAGGGCTCGGGGTTAACGGGCGCTTAGAGCGCTTTTGGGGTTTTGGAGGGCTTGTGAGCTTGGGCTTTTTTTTTAAGTATAGGTGCCGAAATAATTACCTATACGTTTTTTGGGGCGGTTCCTTATTGTAGTTATAGTAGAATATACCCCAAAACCCTGTTCTAATCATTAAAGCCCCTACATTAGGCCAATCTAGGGTACGTAGGATGCTAGGGTGCAGAGGGTATGTCGTAAACTCTAAACCCAATGCTGGTCCCTTTTTGACGGCATGCAACCCTAAACCAGGTGCTCGAAGCCTTCAGTTTGGGCAGGGGCTTAGGGTTTAGGGCTTAGGGTTTAGGGGTTAGGGCTTAGGGTTGGGGGTTTGTGTGTTTTTGTTCGACGAAGGTGGGGGCCGTGCTGTTCTGGTACACACCCAGGCCGTCGTTTCATTGAAGAGTACACGATTTAGAGCCTGAAGTTGTCTTCAACCCAGATCCAGATTTTCCACCCTTTTAAGGCACTAACATGTTACCCCGCGGGCTATCGCCTCCACTGTTTGATCAGTGGCTTTTTCAAAGCTGAACTCTGCAGCCCAGACACTCTCCGATGTCGCTCGAAAACTCACGAACTTTCCGTCCTCGCTTTCATTTAAGTCTCCCTGTTCCCAACACCAAAAAAGGAGCCCTTTTTAATCCTCGGTTACTGGGCACCCTAGCTTTAAGTCCATGAGGCACAAACCCTAAAGTCTCTACACCGATACCAGATATGTCCTAAGACTTTATGGTGGAAGCCGGAAAGTTGGAAAGTGCGTTGCGGCGCGCTTGGACCTGAAACCCAATCTTCCAACTTTCCGTTCTGGGCAATCCGGCACCCCGCATGCTCTCCAAAAGGAGGAAGCCTCTTAGTGTGATCTTCCAACTTTATTCTGCTTGGCAAGCACTGCACTTCTTGCCTGGCAGCGCCCTGCAACCCCGCATCCCCGGATCCGCCGTTCGACTGGGTCGGTCGTACTTCTGCCAGTACTTGGGGGAAAGTACTCCTGAAGACGCCAGTACTTTGAAAGCGGCAAAATACTTTCACGGCGCGTCCTGGAGACGCCAGTACTTTTCGAAAGGATTGTTTCTGAATCCCGGCTTTCCTTGGGGCAAAGCTTTCCGCCGTTAGATTTGATCGCTTCTATTTCTGCTTTGACTCGGTGGAAAAAGATTTGATGGTGCGACCTTGAGACGCCAGTACTGGGGGGAAAGCGATTATTTCAGCCAGCACTCGGGTGAACAAATATTCGCCGGGTTTGTCCTGGAGACGCCAGTGCTTGGGGGAAAGCGATTCCACCGTGCCGTCGATTGTATCTGAATCCCGGCAGTACTTGCGGCAAAGCATGGCGGGTGTATTTCTGAATGCGGTTGCACGGTGGGTTTGCCCACCGTGGGTCTTGTAGTTCCAGTACCATGGGGAAAGTAATCTCGCCGTGCCCCGGGCTGTTTCTGAACCCCGCCAGTAGTCGGGGTACAGCATTTTGGACGTGGTTCTGAATGTGGCAGCAGTCGGAGGAAGGCATGTTGTGCAACCCTCTCGACGTGTTTGCATGCTCCTGCATAGTTCTAGCTTTGAAACCAAAGCTGGAAGACATGAAACTTGGAAGAAATTAAATATAGACGGCCAAACTTAAAGTTGGAAGATGTCTTGCATCATGCGCCAATCTCGGTAAACCATATTCCAACTTTCCCGCTTTGACTGTAAAGTAAGAAAGAGTTCTGTTGTTGCGTTGCGCATATAGGCTGAAAAATAGAAGCCTAACTCTACATGATTCTGAGGGCTGCTGTTACCGATGCCTGATTACACCCTAAACCCTACCGGATCTAAAAAATAGATCCCCTAGTTAGGGACCCTAACTACTAAAGGGTACTTTATAGGAACCCCCTTAGGGGATCTATTTTTTAGATCCTTTGGGGGGTTTGGTTATTCACTTCAGGAGGAGAAGCGCATGTTCCAAGAGCGGCTCCATGACCTGCGGATGCAGACGGAGTCTTTTGGACGGCTTTGAGGGACGTTCTCAGAGACTCCAATATCCCTTAATTAAGGAATATACCTTACATCATATTAGGGATCCTACCATAGTTTAAGGTATATTCCTTAATTAAGGGATATTGGAGTCTCTGGGTTGTAGGTTGAGAGTTGGTAGGTTTGGAGCTTCGAGCCTTTTTGGGCTCAGGGTTTAGGGTGCTGAACACATCAGGGTTTTAGGGCTTAGGTCTTTAATGATGCTGGGCTCGTGGTCTTATAGTCGACAGATGGGGGTCTCAGGGTCTAAGTTTGGCACTGGGAGTTTGATGTTTGGGGCTGTTGGCTTCGACTTCTGTTCAAGCTTTAGGACTTGAGGGTATAGTCTAGCGATTTTGGGCTTAGATTTCTTGTTGACTGCTAAACCACTAAACCCCTAAACCCTAAACCCCTAAACCCCTAGGCCCTAAACCCTCAAACCGAACCCGAAACCCTAAACCCACCGGTAAGCCTTAAGCATTTGAGATTTCAAAGATGGGGGTTTCGGAAAATAGGGACCCTAAATAGTAGCATCCTTATCATAAGGACCCTAAAGTAAGGTACCCCCCTTATTTCGGAAGATCCCAGATGATGGAGGGCTTGCTTTCAAGATCCTCCTCCTTGGGAAGCTTCGACCTCCGGAAGGTCACTCTGTATGCCATGGGTTATATAATAAGTTACATTGGGTTTAGGGTTTAGGGTTTAGGGTTCAGGGTTTAGGGCTGGGGTTTATACCTGTACTGACAAAACTTTTGCTTTCGAATCAGATTCTTGGGGCCATGGTTATTGTCGGACCTCTGCTCGTTCTTGTTCTTGTTCTTGTTGGCAGGCTCTCTGTGGGTTTTCCATGTGGGGGTTTCCGAAAATAGGGGACCCTAATATAGTACCCTAAATAATAGGATCCTTATTATAAGGACCCCAAAATAAGGTAGCCTAATTTTCGGAAACTCCCATGTAGAGAACCTGTAGGACGTTGGCTTCGCAGAGTTTGGGGCACCAGGCTTGGCCTGCGCAGAAAGGAAATCCTTGTACGGTTTAGGGTTTAGGGTTTACGGTTTGGGGTTTAGGGTTTAGGGTTTAGGGTTTAGGGAGTCTGGGGCTTCAAGGCTTTGGCTGGCGCTGCTTCGCCGTCATATAGGGGCCTCAAGAATTAGATAGGGGTATTTTGGGGCCCATTATACTATGGATATAATGAATGGTATTGGTAATTATTTAGGCTCTGCATTAGCATTTTCCCGATTCCGCTGATGCCACGTGTAGAACCGAGCTTCAAGGGGCTTCTCTGCTCTGAACATGACTGAGGTCTCAGCGCCACGCCGATGACGAGACGGAACGGCTGCAACTCTGCGGCATACGGGTGTCCGGTGTTCTTGCCATCGTCGAAATGATAAAGCCTGGTGGGTTTTGTTTTTGGGGTTTGGGTAAGCGCCCTTTTGAGGCCCGCCAGCCGGCCCTCCACTTAAGCCCCCAGAAGTTCAAGGCCCACAGTCTCGGTCAAAGAGCGTAGGCTCCCTTACGTTCTGTAAGTTTGGGTCTCAGATCATAACCCTTGAGCCTGCCACCCAAAGCCGCTAAGGCAGGTTTGGCGTTTCGGGAGCGAGCGTTTGAGGTTGACAATGGTTTATAGTTTTCAGGGTTCAGGGTTTATAGGGTTTAGGCATAGATTCCGGAGAGTTTCAGGTTTACCGTGCAAGCCACAGTGTCGAACTTTTCCCACACTCAGACCCTAAAACCCCTTAAACCCTAAAGCCTAAAAGCTCCGAAGCACTTACTCTCTTTGTGGGAAGTCTGATTGAGCGTCCTCGAGGCTTTTCGCGAAGATCCAGCTGCTCTCGCAGCAGCTGCTCGACTCTAACTCCTACCTGTAGCTCTCTTTACCTACATTTTCGCAGCCATTACCCCTTAATGAGTAGGCAGAACCCATAAAACTGCAGGTAATTAGAGTCCCAGGTAGGGCTTCAAAATTTGTGGTCTCTGGGTGATTGAGTTTCGGGTTGCGAGTTTAGGGCTTTTAGGGCGTAAACCTTAGGTTCATCTGTTGTTACCCAATTATACACCACTTGCGTTTGGGATTACCATTGGGAAGATTGCCATGGCTGATCGCCCAAGTTTGGCGTTCAGGGTTTTGAGGTCCAGAGCTCGGTCTCGGGATATTGGGGTTTCAGGTTTAGGGAGGATGCAGCATTGAGGTTTTCTGGACTTCAACTCTTCAGGGGCATTGGGGAACTCGCGGCGAGAGGCTGGGGTCAATGGCATGTAGTCCTTGGTACTTAGCCCCGAGCTCCAGAGGACCTATGAGGGTTTGGGGTTCGTTGTTCGTCCACAGGAGCAGACGGACTCTGAAGCCAACTGCCTATCATTGAGGTCGCCCACGCCAAACCGATTACTACCGCGTCCACTATCACGCTCATGCGCTTTGTAATTGCTCCAAGTACGAGAGCAATAGTTAACTTCGACACACCACTAAGTAGTACTAGCTTGAACACGGGAGGCTGAGCGATCGTCGGCAGAGTATCGAGGTGCGACATCACAAGGACATATCATGTGCTCCGAATTTAACTCTGGGAAAGACGGTCACCGATTGAGGGGTGGCGCCAACTTTCATTCCGACGCCTTGTTCGGACGATGTAAGCGCTTACACAACGTGTGTGAATTAACGGTTGTCGGTGCAAGTGGGGCAAGAAGTATAACGAGTAGGGATATTTATGGGCACCACGTGTCTTTTAGGATTTCTGCAATGAACCCGCGTCGGGACGCTCTCTTGAATGAGTTGAAAATTTGTTCTAGGACTCTAGCATTGGAGTGTTGTTTTTTGAGATTTACAACCCTACACCCTCGCATTTCAACCGGGCAGGGATCCAGGTCTAGGTTCGTGACACACAGTATTTGAGAGTGTTCCAGAAGGGGTGATCAGAGACTGTACTAGAAGTATTCGGGCCGTTCGTGGGTTCTATATGGGGGTTTCAGAAAATAGGGGACCCTAATATAGCACCCTAAATAATAGGATCCTTATTATAAGGGCCCCAAAATAGGGTACCCTAATTTTCGGCAACTCCCATATACTAGTGAGTTTGTGTTTGATTCCTGGCTCTGGCTCTTCCTGGAAACTTGCCAAGCAACGAAAAGAGATCTGGCCTGCTTATCACATAGTAGAAGCCAGAAAGCTGGAACATGATTGTCCTCATGCCCTGAAGGTAAAGTATAAGGGATCCTAGCACTGATCCTCCGAAGCCCATGTTCCGACTTTCTGGTTTCTACTTTATTACAATCCCTTCGGCAAAGCCTTGATGGCGTGGACCCGGGCAGTGCCCGAAAGCCCTAGGCCCTAGAGCATTGGACGGCTGGCCCAGCAAAATCTTAACCCGAAATCACCAGCTAGACAAAGAACCAAATCCCGGAAGCCCAAACCCTAAAGCCTAAAGCCTAAAGCCTAAAGCCTAAAGCCTGAAGCCTAAAGCCTAAATCCCTAAACCCTACCGCAACGCCCGACGATCTCCCCGGCATTTGGAGGAGACTGAGAAGGAAGCCAACCTACGACGGCAGATCCAGGCCCCTAAGGGCCCATGTGCCCAAGTAGTACTTACTTTGGCCCCAAAGTGCCTATATGGGGTTTAGGGTTTAGGGTTTAGGCTTTAGGGGTTTAGGGTTAGGGTTTAAGGTTTAGGGTTTAGGGTCTATATGGGACTACTTTAAGGCCAAAGCCTTTAGGCTCAGGGTTTGCCTTATTTCGGGCTTGCGTGGTGGTTCAGGGTTTGGCCTTTTGACTTAAGGTCTCCGGCTGAGGATAGGTTACGTTGACATAAGCCCTATAAGCCCTACACCCTTCAACTTAAACTCATACAGAGAAGCCCTATAAACCCCAAACCCTAAACCCCTAAACCCTAAACCCTACACCTTAAACCAACAGTTTAGGTTTCAGGGTGTGCGCTTGCCACGCGAGGCCCGACACTAGCCTTCAGCTCCGAACCCCAAGCCCAACGACTCCTAAAGCCGTGGATTCTGGGGTTTGGGGTTCAGGGGTTTGGAGGTTTAGGGTGTGGGGTTTAGGGGTTTTGTGGGGGTTTGGGGGTTTAGGTTTCGGGGTTTAGGTTTTAGGAGCTTGTGGTATATCCTCGAAACTGATGTGTGCATTTGTTCTCCCGGCTCTATGGGTTCGGGGGTTTCGACTTTAGCGTCCTTGCAGCGATTCAGACATCCGTGCAGTAAGGGACCCTGACACCTTCAATAATATAGGGGCCTTAATGACTACCTAGACTATTTTGGGGGTTCCGATTATACTTATAGTAGAATATACCCCAAAACCCTGTTTTAATTATTAAGGCCCTCACACGCTAACCCCTGATCGTAGCCCTCATAGAACCCTTTAAGGAACCCTTTAAAGGAACCCCCCAAACCCTATTCTAAGTATTAAGGCCCCTACATTATTGGAGTCTCCCGTGCCCCCTCAGCAGGATCGCTCGACCTTCGAATCTTCGAAGCTCCCAGTCAAAACGTCTACGCCACCTCCAGAAGCACCCTTTTGACTCCTCATACCATAGACCCTAAGCGGTTTAGGTTTTGGGTAGTATTACTAGGGGTACCCCTTAAAGGGTACCCCTTCTGAACCCTGCTTTTGGCTCTCTTAAAAGGGACCTTGTTGAGAGGGTCTATATCCCCAAGGGTCCCCCTAATCGTAGCTCCCAGGTTTAGGGCCCTAAGCTCAGATCCCCACCCCATGTCACTTTGCAAAGCTCGGACTAGGCGCTTGAGTCGGCGACCATCGAAGAGCTCCACATGGACACGTCGCAGTTCTGGGGAATCCAGGGTTTAGGGGTTAGGGTTTAGGGTTTAGGGGTTTAGGGTTTAGGTTTCAGGGCTACCGAAAAGTTCGGGCTTTTAGACAAGGATGCATAGGGTTTCTACAGAGTCTAGAGGGGTTTAAGGGATCAGTGCGCTTAGTAGCTGGGGTGACGTGTGCTCCGAGACACGCCCAGGTCTGGTAACCACCTGGGATCGGTTTAGGCTTAGGGGTTTAGGGTTCAGAGCTTTGGGTTTAGGGTTTAGCGGTTTAGGGGTTTAGGGTTCAGGGGTTTAGGGGTTCAGGGGTTTAGGGTTTAGGGTTTAGAGTTCATGAGCAGCCGTGCGAACTGTAACCCACCTTGCCTTGCCCTAGGAGCCCAGGTACCTATAGGGTTATTGTCCCTTAAACCTTTAAACATTGTAAACCTTATAATAACGGTATAAGCTTTATAATAAGCCATAGAAACCTTATGATAAACCATATAAATCTTATAATACCCATAACCCAGTAACTTTCTGTATAATATACAGGCCTTACTAATTACCAATACTATGTTGGGGTTCCTTATTATAATCAATCCCAAATCAGAAAGCCCACAGCCCTGAACTTGAAGATGGAGCTTCGATATCTTCTCACATAGGAATCCAAGCTTCTACGTGATGAGGCGCTTTGCTCAAGTGGTTGTGTAGTTTCTCGCGAGTCTCTCACGAGTCCACTTCCGTGGGCATTAGCCCTAAGTGTGGCCTTTGTTGGCCCACGTCAACAGCCTGTGGCTAATCTTACTGCCTTCACCTGTGGAACTGGCATCGGGATTACTTGGATTTAGTAGCTGTCTTTGATTAGACCTACTCCAACCTGGTGTGCAGCATCAGTGCATGAGAGCAGTTGGGATCTTTGTGTATAGTTTTCTTGTTGGGCTGGGTGATCATCACGTCGGACCGTGGCAGGGCCCGACAAACGGGGTTTCACATCAGAGAGACTTCAGCTCACAGAGCAGCGCGCAGATCAAGGACGCGCTCACGTACCAGGCTACGGACCTGGCTATCGGCAGGACAGGAGTCCTTGCCGGTGCCGGTGGCAGTCCTTTGGCAAGATTGTCAAAGGTTGGAACAACATCACTCGGCAAGCTCACTGCCGCGAGATTTCCGCATAGCCATGGCGTGCAAGGGTCAAGGAGGTATGCAAAGCTGGTGGTGCCATTCCTGCAGGCAGTGGCGGAAGGCTACTGCCATATACTGCCCACAGTGTGGCAATGGAGGCAGTGGACCGCAGAATGCAGGGTACATGCACCAGACATGGTGGCAGGACCGATGGCAACCGGACCAGTGGCACCATGGATACTCGCCTCAGATGCCGAAGTCGCCGAGGCGCAAATCCCCTCGAAGGGCCGGTTGGAATACACCGGACAACGAAGGTGGAAAAGGCAAGGGCAAGGGCAAGAAAGGGCACCAAGGCACTGGCGAGGGACAGATAAATGCTGTGGTGCCTCGAAGCGATGCTTTGCCCGCCCCGCCAGTGGGACAGATCAACGCAGCTCCAAGCCAACAGGCTGGAAACAAGCAGAGCACCGGACAGGCGGTGCAAACGGCTGCCGAAAAGCAGCTGGAACAACTCGTAGTTGCTTTGAAACAATCCAATGCCGAGCTGCCTCCAGGGGTAGCGGAGATTGTGTCGAATCACGCGCAATCTTCCACAAAACAGGCCGCAAAAAGCCTACACAAGACAGTGACGATGCAGACAACAGCACGAAGCAACTTGGAGCAACTACGGGCGCAACGCCGACAGTACGTAGCGAGTTGGACAAGTTACCTGGATTCCGTCACCACCTTATTGACGCAGCAATTTCAAAAGCAAGAGTCCACCATGACCCAGTTCGAAGAAGCGGAGCGTGCATGGATGGACCAACTCAGCGGAGCCACAGTTCAGTTAGCGCGCTTGGCCAAGGAGGGCCAGGCACAAGGCGCCAGTGTCGAGGAGATCGCAGGATCATCTTCCGAAGGAGACATGGATGCAGAGGAAAGTCATGCAGAGCAACTCAAAGAACAGGAAGCACGGGAACTTCATCGCGCGCAACATCGCCAACTCTTGGAGACTTTGACTGCCGCCAAGGAAAACTCAGAAGCCTTGGCAGCAGCTGCGGAAAGA